CTACCGACCCGGCGCCCAGGCTCTCTCTCCCCTCCCCACGCCAGCTTGTGAGGTCAGGCTGTGGGCCGCGGGAGTCAGTGCCCACAGACTGACAACAGCACACCCAGGCCCAGGGCAGAGCAGTCGATGGGCCCCCCCCCACAGACAGGGTCTGCCTGGCACTGGGCGGGAGGGGGTCGGGCTCTGGGAGGAGGAGCAATGACAGGGGGTTGGGTACAGGAGAGAGTCAGGCTCTGGGAGAGGGTGTGAAGGTCGTGCTCTGGGCGGGGGGCAGAAGGGGGTTGGGTACAGGAGAGAGTCAGGCTCTGGGAGAGGGCGTGAAGGTCGTGCTCTGGGCAGGAGGAGTGCAGGAGGGGGAAGGGCTCTGGGAGGGGACGGGAGGAGGAGCAATGACAGGGGGTTGGGTACAGGAGAGAGTCAGGCTCTGGGAGAGGGCGTGAAGGTCGTGCTCTGGGCAGGAGGAGTGCAGGAGGGGGAAGGGCTCTGGGAGGGGACGGGAGGAGGAGCAATGACAGGGGGTTGGGTACAGGAGAGAGTCAGGCTCTGGGAGAGGGCGTGAAGGTCGTGCTCTGGGCAGGAGGAGTGCAGGAGGGGGAAGGGCTCTGGGAGGGGACGGGAGGAGGAGCAATGACAGGGGGTTGGGTACAGGAGAGAGTCAGGCTCTGGGAGAGGGCGTGAAGGTCGTGCTCTGGGCAGGAGGAGTGCAGGAGGGGGAAGGGCTCTGGGAGGGGACGGGAGGAGGAGCAATGACAGGGGGTTGGGTACAGGAGAGAGTCAGGCTCTGGGAGAGGGCGTGAAGGTCGTGCTCTGGGCAGGAGGAGTGCAGGAGGGGGAAGGGCTCTGGGAGGGGACGGGAGGAGGAGCAATGACAGGGGGTTGGGTACAGGAGAGAGTCAGGCTCTGGGAGAGGGCGTGAAGGTCGTGCTCTGGGCAGGAGGAGTGCAGGAGGGGGAAGGGCTCTGGGAGGGGACGGGAGGAGGAGCAATGACAGGGGGTTGGGTACAGGAGAGAGTCAGGCTCTGGGAGAGGGCGTGAAGGTCGTGCTCTGGGCAGGAGGAGTGCAGGAGGGGGAAGGGCTCTGGGAGGGGACGGGAGGAGGAGCAATGACAGGGGGTTGGGTACAGGAGAGAGTCAGGCTCTGGGAGAGGGCGTGAAGGTCGTGCTCTGGGCAGGAGGAGTGCAGGAGGGGGAAGGGCTCTGGGAGGGGACGGGAGGAGGAGCAATGACAGGGGGTTGGGTACAGGAGAGAGTCAGGCTCTGGGAGAGGGCGTGAAGGTCGTGCTCTGGGCAGGAGGAGTGCAGGAGGGGGAAGGGCTCTGGGAGGGGACGGGAGGAGGAGCAATGACAGGGGGTTGGGTACAGGAGAGAGTCAGGCTCTGGGAGAGGGCGTGAAGGTCGTGCTCTGGGCAGGAGGAGTGCAGGAGGGGGAAGGGCTCTGGGAGGGGACGGGAGGAGGAGCAATGACAGGGGGTTGGGTACAGGAGAGAGTCAGGCTCTGGGAGAGGGCGTGAAGGTCGTGCTCTGGGCAGGAGGAGTGCAGGAGGGGGAAGGGCTCTGGGAGGGGACGGGAGGAGGAGCAATGACAGGGGGTTGGGTACAGGAGAGAGTCAGGCTCTGGGAGAGGGCGTGAAGGTCGTGCTCTGGGCAGGAGGAGTGCAGGAGGGGGAAGGGCTCTGGGAGGGGACGGGAGGAGGAGCAATGACAGGGGGTTGGGTACAGGAGAGAGTCAGGCTCTGGGAGAGGGCGTGAAGGTCGTGCTCTGGGCAGGAGGAGTGCAGGAGGGGGAAGGGCTCTGGGAGGGGACGGGAGGAGGAGCAATGACAGGGGGTTGGGTACAGGAGAGAGTCAGGCTCTGGGAGAGGGCGTGAAGGTCGTGCTCTGGGCAGGAGGAGTGCAGGAGGGGGCCGGGCTCTGGGAGGGGGCGGGAGGGGGTGTGGGAGGGCAGGCTCTGGGAGGGGGGAGTCAGGCTCCGTGCTGGGACAAGGGAAACGATCGTTTCCCAACGGGCGCTTCCAGTGAGCAGACAGAGCGGTCAAGGCGCCGGGGCTGGAAGCTCAGGCTGGACGGCCCCACCCTGGGAACCAGCCCGAGTCACCGGGGGGGGGAGGGGAGGCGCTCAGTCCCTGCCGTAGAGGCGCGGTGTGGCCTGGGGCGGCGTGACCTGCTGGCGGTACCTTGCCAGCTGAACCAGCAGGACCACCAGGGCCCGGGTGCCTTCCCCCATCAGGCTATTCAGTTTCAGCTCCTCGTAGGTGAGATGAAGCACGTAGAAAACAGCCGGGATGTGGGTGAAGAGGAGGGTTGAGGAATCCAAGGTGAGGCTGGGGGGAAAGTCGTCTTTGGGAAACGAAGTGTCCACTGGGTCCAGTCGCAAAGCTCGGGCCAGAGGGTGGGACTCGAGGTTTCGGTGGTAGTCCGAGTGAAGCAGGTAGTCCCAGTCCTAGGGCACACCAAGAGAGACACTCCCTAAATACGCCCCCTCGCTCAGAGCCCTGCACAGAGATTTATTTCATTCAGTGACGTGGGGGGTATAAAAAGAGCAATTTACAAGGGCTGAAGCGACCTGACCTCTAGCGAACGGGCCCGTCATTAGCTCTCTAAGCTACTTGGAGAAAGGATCCCGCACGCTGGGATCTCGGGGCCCTGCAGCCGGCTGCCTTGGCTATTTATTACAAAAGGTACTAACAGCTCGCTGGCTCGATCATCCACTGCCCAGGGACCCTGGGGACGGGGAGTGCGTGTAGTCTAGAGCATTAACCTAGACGCTTCTGATTATCGGTTAGGCGACTCCACTGTCACATCCCGCAGTAGGGCGTTGTCCAAGTGCACAGAACAAACGACAGGATTGGGGCCTGGATGCTCCTTAGCACGTTTTCCTTCCCCGCTGGAAGAGGCCCGGGACGCCTCGCGTGAGGATCAAACAGCAATAAGGCAGCTGAGGCGTTAGGCCGGATAGAACTTCTGCTTCTCTCCCCGCAGGAACCGGGAGCAGGAACCCCCCCCCCCAGTCTGTGCCAGGAAGGAGCTGCAGAATTGTGTACTGCTGGCCTGTTCCAATGTACAGCACGGGCAGGGACGGGACAGGCTAACGGGGCAGAGCGCCGGGGGAAGCTCTTGGGAGGAACAGTTGAGCTTTGCTGCTGGAGCGAAGTACAAATCAATATCATGGAATCCTAGAACCCCAGGGCTGCTTAATATTCCTGACACATTGGAAAAGGGCCTTTGCAGATCTTTCAAAGATGGACTACAATAGTTTTATAGTGAAGTAATTGTTCTGGAAGTTAAACCAAAAGTCAGGGAACCAGGACTCCTGGGTTCTGTTCCCTCTCTTCCCAATGTTCCACTGTGAAGTCTTGTTCAAGTCATTTAAACCTCAGTGATTTTCAGTTATATAATGGGTGCAACAATATGTAAGGGCAGGTTGAACTTCTCTAGTCCAGCAGCCTCAGGACTGGATCGGTGCAGAACCAGAGAGTTTGCCAGACCACAGGAGGTCAGTATTATCTAGCAGCATGACCAACACTTCCACTGCTTGCTGGGCTCTCAGAAGACACAGAGGGGTAAATTAGAGCCAAATCACAGCCCAGAACACTGAGAGCCAGGACTGGTGGCTGTAAACAAACTTTATGAGACCACAGGGAACTTGGCCACGCCCATGACAAGTGGACATCCGGCTCACTCAAACCCTGCTGGACCATGGAGGTTGCAGGACCAGACAGAGCCGGACTAGAGAGGGTCAACCTGTGCTATTTATATATTGGTACAGATGAGAAGATTCACCACAGTCAGGGGCACACTGTGAAGACAGGGCACAGACAGCAGATGACGGTGCATCCCACAAGGACCGACAGCCCCACGCAAACCCAGTTGAAAGTAGTCAGCTTGCTTCCTCTGATCTGCCTACATTTTAAATGTGGGATCTTTCACTCAGTGAGTAACCTGCTTTGATTTTTAGCAAAGGCTGGCTCCATCTCTTACTTCGTCTGATCCTGCCTCCGAAGGTCGAGCCTTCTTGGGAGCAATGACAGGGGAAAGGGAGCCTTCAAAATCAAGCTGCAAGAAGTAAAGATGCAAAATTAGCTATTGTGAAACCTTGACATTACATCCATGAATCAGCAACAAGAACGAAAAGTGAAATATAACGTGTGCACCAACGTTTTGGGAGGTTTGGCACAGCGTTAAAAATTGCTTCCATTACTTTAAAAATCAGGTTCAACAAAGAAGGGAAACCAATTATCTGTGTATAGAAGCCACAAGTGCATTTGGTTTGTGAATTTCACATTCAGGCTGGCTGATATTTAGTGGGTTTTTTGGGGGAAAGAAATGCTAATATTTGTGCTGGGCTAACACTGCAAATGCATTTCAATGGACTTTGTTTCAGCAGTGTGCCACCCTGGAGTTTGCTTTCTGTGAATCTACTAGCAAATGAATGTTCTGGCATGTCGCTGACACAGAAAACCGAGCGACGGCTCCATAGTATTGCAAGTTTCCACACTGCAGAGCCGGTTCTTAAAGGTGCACGCGTCCACTTGGAGAACGGACCTATAAAGTGTCCCTGTGTGTTCTATCAAAGCAGCATGAACGTTAACTGCTCACAGCTGAGAATGATCCCGCTTCAAGAGCAGGGGGCTCAGAGGTGAAAGGGAACATGTCATCCTGGGACGGTTGTTTCTATGCGGCCCAGATATTATGGTGATGGGCACTTAATAAACGGCGCAGGCACGCTGAGTCGAGTAAGAATGTGCATCTATTTACCAAAAAGATACATTTGGAAAAGCGGCCAGCGTAACTCAGAGATGCTTTATTTAAAACCGGCTCAGGCATGCTGCTGTGAACTGACTGTATTTGGATAGACATCTTGGATGCTGTGAAATGATGAATTAGGCAAACAATGAGCTAGTATTAATACGACGTCCAGAAAACAAACCAGGACGTGGCGAGTGTACTTACATTACGTGTCCACGCCAAGCGGTCCGTATTGTAACCCATCATATTCATGAGGCAGGTGACAAATAAACTCCACTCGGAGTGGTAACTTGGTCCTCCAGGGGCATTGTAGGCATTGTACCACTTGACAAGCATCTGCACGGCTACCTCTCTGGGCAGGATAGACTTAATTCCTTGTAAGCACCTTTTCACTGTTGGGGGCGGTGAAAAACGTTAGACTAGTTGGTCCCATCCACGCTCATGCAATGGCGCCAAGCCCATGACTCCACGACTACGGCTGTAAACCCATGTTCGAGCTCTACTTTTGGCCCTCTGTCTAAAGGAACTCTAGACAGTTCCCCCCATCTATGGGCCTGGAAATTCCCATGTGTCATTGCAAGCCAAAGGAAAACTGGCTTTGTAGCCTCTGTTCAGCTTCAGAAAACTGGAAATGTCATCCTTTTTCGTTCATTCCTAAAGCCGTGTTAAGAGACCAAATTTCTCACGATCTTACTCCTTAAATAACAGTGCACACACTTTTGTAGGCCAGTTTGTTTCCGTTCCCAGGGAATACTATTGGTTATGCATCACTGAACCTACAGAGCATAGCTAGCTATAAGCCAGCAAGTCTGTCGCTGATCACATAAAGGGTACGTCTACGCTGCACGGCGATTTCAAAAGAAACCATTCCAAAACGGCTTATTTCGAAATAGCACGTCTACACTATGAGTCTGAGGCCGGCTTCCCTAATGTAGAGGCGCTATCTCGATTTAGCACCCCAGGAGGCACTGGGGAGGAATACCTTAGAACAGCCCTGAGGAGGGGCTATTTCCAAATAGCAGCAGTGGAGCAGCTCAAAAGAGCTATTTCGGGAGAGGTGTTATTCCTCGTAGAATGAGGTTTACAGATTTCGGAATAAGCCGTCCGGTATTTCGAAATTATTTCAAAAGAACAGAATGGCTGTGGAGACGCTCACATTGTTATCTCGAAATAACAGTGCAGTGTAGACGCACCCAAACGTACAACATTAGGTGCCACATCATCATGGCCCGATCGCCGCACTGCAGAGCGGTAGAATGAAGAGTGCAGTTGTGTTTTATGCACTGGATCCTGTCCCTTACCTAGCTCCGAGGTGGCGATTTCAGGCATGGTAATCCTAACCATCGAGCTATTGCTGAGTTCCTGTAAAAAAAAAAAAACCTGAAGTCAAATTCCGAGGGGCATTTCTGGAAAAAGCAAGATCACGCCCCGCCTCTAGAGTATGTTTTATACACCACCGAGCTGTTTGCTAAGTTTGAGACTTGCGAGGTGTGGGGGAGAGCCGTTGGCTTAAAGGTGCTCAAATTCCTGTAAGTGGTAAGAGGTAGTTTTCAGAAAGAGGACACGCTCTAGGGTAAGGGAGTGCCCGTAGCATAGGGAAGTGCAGCGTCTGGCTGCGAGGTAGAAACGCTTCAGAGAGCGTGCCACACAGGAGGGACGAGGGCTGATTATACTTGGTTTGGCCCATTTAATAGACTCCTACAATGAGAAGGGACCTCGAGAGGTCATCGAGTCCAGTCCCCCGCCCTCCCGGCAGGACCAAGTACCGTCTAGATCATTGTTCAAACAATCCTCGGAAAAAACCTACCAGAGTTACTCTGTTGTGAACAGGGTCTCGCACAGAGTGAATGAAAGTTCCGAGCTGCTGGAAAGTACAATCCTCGATGTACGTGGAATCATGAAGTTTGGAAGAATCCCTCAGCTCTGGAACCGGAGACAGCAGCACCCCCTGCCAAGGGACAAAGCGACCGGTCAAAGCTGAAATCGGGGGTGGGTGGGTGAACAGGCCTGGGCGCGTGAACAGGCCTGGGCGCAGGATATTCTGAAATCAATCCTCATTCTTCAATGTTAGGGATTCCAGAAAGACACTAATGAGTAAGTGTGATGCCGGGAGACCAGGTACCATCTCGTGCCCAAGCCACGACCAACACAATCAGCCGTGACACACTGCAATCAGTCTGGCTCCTGTATGTGAGAAGTGGTAAAACCAGTGCAGGTTGAACCTCACTAGCCCCGCACCCTCGGGACCTGACCGGAGCTGAACCGAAGAATTTGCCAGACCACAGGAGGTCAGTATTGTCTAGCCGCATGACCAACACTTCCACTGCTCACTGGGTTCTTAGAAGACACGGAGGGAGCCCAATCACAGCCCAGAACATGGAGAGCCGAGTCTGGTGTCTGAAAACAGACTTTATGGGACCACGGGAAGCTTGGCCACCCCCATAAGAAGTGGACGTTTGGCTCCCTCAACTGACGCCGGACCGTGGATGTTGCCGGACCGGAGAGTGCCGGAGCGGAAAGGTTCAACCTGTATTAGAATTCTACGAATATGTTTAGTGTTAAGTTTTTATTGAATGCTAGTAAGTTGCTGCTGGCATCAATCTCACCTCTACCGTGTGTATCCCATTGTGTAGGGTAATCTGAGCGGCTGTACCGAGCCTCCATGACCGTAAATCTCTAGACCAGTGGTTCCCAACCTGTGGTCTGAGGACCCCTGGCGGTCTGTGACGGTACTGCAGGGGGTCAATGGAAAGTTTAAAAATAAGACTGGCTCACGACAATGGGCCGGATCCTTACTTTTCTTTTTCTTTCCTTACTTTTGCTTTTTTTTCTCCCCCAGTGAGGGGGAGTCTGTGAAATGTTAATAGATTGAAAAGGGGTCCATATGCTCGAAAAGGTTGGGAACCACTGCACTGGACAGGAGAGAGACATCAATGAGTGTGAAGGGCTGATCTTCAAAAGACGGGGTTACGCCCTTCCCAACAGGACAGAGTCATCCACAGCTGGACTATTGAGGGATGTTAAAGAGGGAAAAAGAAATCTGTTGTTCTGCTCTCCACCCGCACACCAGACCAAGAGTCACATACACGGACACGCCCCTCAGTGGAGTCTGCAGCTGAGAGCACGTGGAAGAAAGGGGATTCAACGAGCAAAAGAAACTATCCCCATGCACCCTGGACTCTGCCGGGAAATGTATTTCTAAGCACAAGCAAGAGATCCCCAGCTGCTTAGCCTGGCTAAAGAACAGACAGAGCTTGCTGATTGCGCTCCAGATGTTAATTCATTTGTGTCTCTCTCTCTACCTCGTACATAACGCTCTACAATCTGTTTCCTATGTAATAAATCTTGATGGAGCTTACTGTAGATCCGGCTACAAGCACTGACTTTGATGTGGATCTACACTGCAACTGAGCTGGGGCTTGGGAACTGGTCCTCTGAGATTGGGAGTAACCTAAATACAGCCGTGATCCTTGGCATAAAGGACCACCTAACCCAGCGGTTCCCAGCCACCGGTCTGCGGACCACTGCCTGCCAGGCCACGCCCCCAGCAGCAAATAAGCCCCCGCCCCCGGTGGGGTTCCCCACGCAGCAGCAAGGTGAGTGGCCCGGGGCAACCGGGTATGCTGAGGCAGCCTCACCATGGCCGGGCCACGCGATGGGCAGCTGCAGCGCTCAGCTGGGGTCAAGCACTGTGCACAGCCCGGCTGCCACGGCGCTCGGCAGGGGCCCGGCACGGTGCAGGCTCCATGCAGGCTTCCTGCCGTGCAGAGAAGCGCTCTGCGCTCAGCTGGTGGCAGCAGCAGGGCTAGGTGAGGGGGGCGGGGCTAGTGCTGGAGGACTCTGGGGGGGCAGGGCTGGCACTGGGACAGGGCTAATAACTAGGGGATGGCACGGGGGGAACCCGGGGGATTGGGTGCAGTGGGGCTCTGGGAAGGAGGCTGGCACTGCGGCACTTGGGCAGGGGGCTGGCACTAGGAGACCCTGCGGTCAGCGGCTGGCACTGGGGGGCTGTGGAGAGGCGAGGAGCTGAGGGGCTTTTTGTGCCACACACCAGCAAACCCATTCACAAACTTTTGGCAGACCAGTAACATTGTATTTGCGTATTTGAATATTCATTATTTGCACAATGAGCATGCAAATATGCGAATAGCCCCCCAGAGATGTCTCCCCCTCTCCTGTGCCCCTCCCACTCTCCTGTGCCCCTCCCGCACAACGTGCCCCTCCCCCCGTCTCCTGTGCCCCTCCCGCACAACGTGCCCCTCCCCCCGTCTCCTGTGCCCCTCCCGCACAACGTGCCCCTCCCCCCGTCTCCTGTGCCCCTCCCGCACAACGTGCCCCTCCCCCCGTCTCCTGTGCCCCTCCCGCACAACGTGCCCCTCCCCCCGTCTCCTGTGCCCCTCCCGCACAACGTGCCCCTCCCCCCGTCTCCTGTGCCCCTCCCGCACAACGTGCCCCTCCCCCCGTCTCCTGTGCCCCTCCCGCACAACGTGCCCCTCCCCCCGTCTCCTGTGCCCCTCCCGCACAACGTGCCCCTCCCCCCGTCTCCTGTGCCCCTCCCGCACAACGTGCCCCTCCCCCCGTCTCCTGTGCCCCTCCCGCACAACGTGCCCCTCCCCCCGTCTCCTGTGCCCCTCCCGCACAACGTGCCCCTCCCCCCGTCTCCTGTGCCCCTCCCGCACAACGTGCCCCTCCGTTCTGACAGACTGTCAGGCACATGCCCAATGGGGCAGAGGAGCCATCTCAGTGGGGGAGCCCGTCCCGGAGGGAGGCCTGGCAGCGCCCGGGGCAGAGAGCACAGGGGCTCTGAGCTGTAGGAAAGGGAAGGGGAGAAGCTGAGTAGCAAGAAGTCCCTGTGAGGAGCTGTCAGAAGCTCAGCAGAGCAGAGATCTTCTCTGGGCAGCCCAGTGGCTTCTCCCCTCGTCTCCACAGGCAGGAAGCCCAGGCCCTGCCCATGCTCGCTGGGCCGGGCGGTGCGGTAGGGGGCTTTTGTGTGTTGCTGCTGTGGGGAGGGAAGAGGGGGGTCAGTGGCGTGTGAGCTGGGGAGTTAAGGGGGAAAACACAACCACAGGCTCAATCTCTGTCCACGTCCCAGCAGCGGCCACGGTCGACCCTCCTGCCCCAGCTGTGGCCCTGTCTCCGCTCCAGCGTTCTGCTGGCAGGGATCTGTCGGTCGCGGCGCGGTCAGACCCACGCCGACAGAGCACTGGGGGCAAAACGGGGCAGCGGTTACTCAAGCAGAACTGCACTTTCCCCGGGAGAGCCTGCTTCACGGCACAGGGCAGGGAATGAGCAACACCCAAAAACGTGCACCAGGGCCTAGTCCAGCAGCATCATGGTTTGTGAGAAAACACGACAGCCTTTTTCAAGACAACCCTTTGCTTCTCTCACCTCCTCCAAGGGCCCCAGGTACTTGCTCAAAGGCTTGGAAGGAGTGCTCAGGCTGTCCAGAGGGGTGCTGGGCCGAGGCATTTGGTTCGACATTGTCAGCGACGGGGCGGGCAGCCCAGGAATGAAAACCTTCCCGACCTTTTTATGGAAAGGAATGGTTAGTTTGAACATGCAAACTGCCCTAGCGGGCATGCAGTCAGGTCAATGGGAGCAGCGATTATTAATACATCAAAGAACAAGGGTAAGAAAAATGGCTGAATTCAAACATCAAGAGATGAGAGAAAAGCCGTCGCATTTTAACTCTTTTTTCCCAAGCTTTGATGCCTCACAGTATTTGCCAATCCTACTTCTGTGTGTTTCCACACGCTTGTAGCATCAATGTAAAGCTATCGCAGTGTCAATTTTAAAAGTCGACTTTTCAACCGTATAAAAGTATCTACAGAAATCTGGGTTACACAGTTTCCAAATAAAGCAAAAAGCACAGTGTGTCTTTCTACGTAACTTAAAATAGCCCACCCTATTCTACCTGTAAAAATATAAAAAGCATGTACAGCTGACTTCTGCAAAGCAACAAGTGCTGCCATGTCAAACCCAGAGACACCTCACGAGAAAGACGGAAAGCTTCTTGCTTGGGAGAACTTCCGCTGATTTCGCACATTTGTAGGATTCTCTTTGTTCTTAATAACTAAAAAGCCGAACAAGAAAACCGCACATAAAGCAACATTATCTCCAGGGCAAACACTTTTCAAACTCTTCTGAGGTGCCAATGGCTCGAGAGCAACAATCCCAACAGAGTCTGCGGCCAATCGGAGAGCAACGCCTGCGATCCGTGGGATACCATCCCAGGGCCTGCCCACCTCCCTAGGAAGCTCATGACAGAGGTCTCCTGAGACGGCCTGACGCAGTTAGTGCTGAAGCAGCTTACTACACAGCAAACAGACTTGGCAGGACACTGGTAACGGAAGTTACAAGAGCCCCACTGTGACATAGGGAGTGTCAAGTGTATTCGACTTCGGCTACTAAGGGTTTTCACTCGATTGTACGATGGCACGTACCCGAACCACTCCAGTGTACAGCACTAAGTTTCCATTGCCTTCCAGAACCAGCAGCGTGTCAATGCTCTACAAAGATCAGAGAGGGAGTTAAAACTTCTTGTATTGGAGTGAACACTACATTCAGCCATGGAAAGTGACCAAGGACAGCAAGGTTCTCTACTTCACACACACACACGCGCGCGCACACACACGCGCACACTCTTACCTCCACTGGGGCTGCATCTTTTGCCTGTATATTAGTTACAGACCCAAAGATCAACTGTGACTTATCGTTACTTTCTTGAAACTTTACACAGCTAAATATTATGGAGAGGAAAAAAAAAAGATTCAATCAAAAACATTATAGATCAGAAACTCTCTCCTACGTGATATTATGGAAGAGGGAGAGGATATTAAAACACGACGTCTGTATGGGAACTAACCATTTTCACTGCGGTATCCTTCCCTCTTTTAACACGCTATAACCTGGTTTACAGAATCTCTAACATGAGGAATGCTGGTTTTAACGCTGATAATTAAGTCATTCAAAATAATAATCTATGTTAAAGTACCCAGAATGCTTATAAAGTGACAGCGTGGGAAAAGCAAGCAGGCCACTGGAAATATATAATTTTTTATTTTCTTGTCCAAACTTGCGCCTGCTCTAGCTGCACACATGCATCAGGTTAAGGTAAAAGATTTCACTAGCTCTGGAGCGTGTCCACACAAGCCCGCCTCTCGCTAGTTATTTATTCAGCTCTAAGATCTATTCAGCAATTCAAACTACCCAGAAAACCCCACACGTGCTTACCGCAGCTGCAGCTGGGATTCCACTAAAAAGCACAAGAACTTCTGCCCACAAAGGTCGGTGGTAATAAATACTTTGGAGGCCTGGGAATTCTTCTCTCTGTCAATAATGAAACAGGGGCAGGGATCAGACCAGCGCTTTGGCTTCAGGGTCAGCGGACGTGTTCCTGAAGAGAATATTAAGCACAGCGAGCTGCGGGAAACAGCCAACCAGCGCATAGGATGAGCAGAGAGAGCCCCGCACCGGGCGTGGCCCTATTCTAGACAGTAACATGCCTGGATCCCAACCTGCCTGCTCCCTAGTTTTGGACACTCAGTGCCCAGGTTTTACAGGCCAACCCATGTGTCAGATTTTAGCCTCCTTTTCTGCCTAATTCCAACTACAGGCAACCTCGGGACCTGACCCGTTCTGAACCAGAGAACTTTCCAAACCACGGGAGGTCAATATTGTCCAGCAGCATGACCAACGCTTCCACTGCTTCCTGGGCTGGGGTAAGTTAGAGCTAACAAACCGCACAGGACACCGAGAGCCAGGCCTGGGGGCTGTAAACAAACTTCGTGGGACCACAGGAAACCTGGCTGCACCCATGCTAAGTGGACTCACTCAAATCCTGCCGGACTATGGATGTTTCTGGACCAGAGAGTGCCGGACTAGAGGGGTTGAACCTGTATGGCTCTAGTTAGGGGGTCTCCCTTTGGGTCCTGCAGCATCCTCCTTGAAGCGATTGGCACCGATTTCAATCACCGAATGCACGAGAACGTGTGTCGTGATCTCACGAGCTCCATTCGCTTTGGAGTCGAGCTGGCTGCGGGACGTTTGCACGACAACAACAAAGCACCGTGCTGACGAGGGAGGGAGGGAACTGCCCGGTCGGGCCAGCTTTCATGTCAATTGGCGCCTATGCGAAGGGGAGCGCTGCAGCCACCGTATCCTAGCAAACGCTGAGTCCCATGGGATGGAGCAAGCTCCCAGCCACCACAGGGAATGTAATCCCTGCAAGGAATGTAATCCCCTCCCGCCCACCCCCCACCCCGGTGGTGCTAGACATGCTAAAGCCGGAGCGGCCCTGTCCTGCCCCTCTTGCAGTAGGGCTGCACCAGCCCTGTAGACCCACATGCTCCCCTCTTGCAGAAGGTTCCAGCCCTGGGCTCATCCTGGCTGCAAAGATTCCAGCATCAGGAGTAGCTCCCCTCTGGGCAGCTCCCCCGACAGTCCGCCAAGCACACAGGCAGCAGCGCTCAATGCCAGCTGTGACACCCCTGTGCTTTCAGTTAATTTGGCACCCTCAGTAACGAGCTAGGAGAAAAGCAACCGGCGAACTGAATCACAGACGGGTCGGAGAGGTGCTGCCAACACCAGAGACAGCGAAATCATAGAAAGGTGCCAAGAGACTTCAGTTATGGGCCGGTACCAACACAACATGACGGCCCCTGGGGAGGGCTACTGCACACGCCGCCCCTTCGCCTTTGGCACAGTTGGCAGCAGCAGGGATTTGAAACTAGGCCTCCGTGCCTCAGGCAGGCAACAGGCATGCCTGCTCCACTGCCCAGAAGCCAGTCCGGATGTGGTGTTACCCTGCGGACAGCCCCCCCCACTCCACAGCACACGGCCACTCGAAGGTCTCGCAGCCAAGTCGCGATCAGACTCAACCCTGCTTTGCTCATGAAACCCACGGTAACAACCAGCCAGTGTCGACAGCTACAAGCTACTGAACGGATCAGATGTGCCCAAGTCCCATTTCAAAAGTGAGCTGGGCACTTGAGGTATGTGTTACCGTGGTAGGCAATACCCGGATCGGAACAGCTACACTGCAGGTAAAGAATCCCTTAGCCCAAGTTAGCCCACACCGGCCAGCATACAAATCCTTTGGAGCCAGACTTTCACTGAGCCTTAGTCTCCAATTAGTCTCCTATGTCATTTTTGACAGAGGGACTTAGGCCTTTTCTACACTAAAAGGAAGACTGCTGCTGCCACGATCGATCTTCCGGAGTTCAATTTAGCGAGTCTAGTTAAGACTCACTAAATCAAACTCAGAGCGCACCCCAGCTGGTGTCCTGTGCTCTTGATCTTGCCACAGGAAGATGGCGAGAGTGTTTGCTCTCACTGACCTCCTGCTGAGGGGATGCCGCCAAGCCGACTCCAGCTACGTATTCTATGTAGCTGGAGTTGCTGCCAGGTCTAGTGTAGACCTGGCCTTAGGCAGTTTTGAAAAACTTACCCAGCAATACTGGGTCTCCTGCAGTACTTTTGTTCTAAGAGGCAATGGCTTGCAAAGAGTTTGTACTGGGGGCAACTTCACTTCTAGTCTTTGCTAGTGGAAACCCAGGTCTCTGTAACCCAAACACAAGCTTCCAAACCTCATGGTCATGGCGGTTTCTGTCCACAGATGGTCTATGCACAGCTCTGGAACAATGGGCTCCGTTTCTGGAGCGAGGAAGGACTCGCTGGAAGCGCTGGCTGGAGAGTGGCTAACGCTGTGCCTCCGTGGCGACTGGGTGTTACTGGAGAAGGTGAATCTCTGCCCTCCGGAGAAAGAGTGCACCCCCAAGGCAGGAGAATGGGAACGGCTGCAAAGAAAGGCAGGGGCCATTACGGACAAGCTGAGACGTGGACAGCAGAACCCTCTTCTCCCAGGGCAGCAGGGAGCGGACACTAGCACCGGGCTCTCAGCGCTGCTAATTCACCAGCCCGTGCTCACAGGGACACGCCAGCCCTCCGCACAGTTGGCTAAATACGTCTGGCGGAGGCTTCAGGAGGAGGGGAGAAAGAGAAGGGGAAAAATCAAAAATAACTCCCCCACACTCCACAATGCCCACTCCTGTTCTGCGGAAAGCTAGTCCCAGCCAGCCAGGGCATTCCCGATGTCCTGTTTAGGCGACAAGCTCTGTCTTGAGCCAGGACTGATCGAAAGTACAAACCGCTGATTCCTGAAGGAAATAAAGCTCTCGGGGGCCTCCAAAGGGCGTCCTAGGAGCAAGACAATGAAGTGCGCAGGGGCTGAGGTTTTGCCGCAGACTGGCTACTGAAGGCCATTTGCAGGCAGGGAGAGGACGGAATGATCTACGTGCAGCATTCTGTTCCTGAAATAGCAGCACCAGGGCCCAGAGAGAACCATGCTAGATACTGAAGTACCACACAACTGGTTTTAAGAAGGCAGCCTAAACTCAACGTGTACACAACTCAGTCAGGGGAAGGAAAGGAAATCCACACGAGGCAGATTCAAAACCAGACTGCAGGGAAGCTAGAGACGGAAAGTCGAGGCACTTACAAAAGAGGGAGAGAAATGGCCCAGTGATTTTGGGGAAGCAAATTCCACCCCATGGGACTAAGGAAGGGTGCCGAGCTGAGCTGCGACAGCAGGAGGGCAACAGGCAAGCTTCGTGCTCACAGGTATTTGGACTAAAGGAGAAGGCTGCAATTGTAGCTGTGGCTACACCTTCACAATGCAGTTCTGCTCTCAAAAAGCAACTGTGTTTAAAAGGCACCTTCGTATTCAGCTATCTACAGGCGACAGATCTGCTGACTTAGTGGCAAAAAAATACGGCTTTGCTGCTTCTTACTCCTAAAAACCCTGTAGAGCCAACACAGCTCAGAGCGAGTCGCATTGGACTCCTTTTTTCAGCCCAACCGAGTTATTTACTTGACTCCAATCAGTTATATTTGTAGAGCCCGTTGAAGAAAAGTGATTTGTAACGAAGGGCCAAATGCAATCGGCAGAGCACTTCTTATTGGCAATGATGCACATAATGGAAAGAAGCCAGCTTGACTCAGAGAGCACCGACAGAGTCTGCAGGGCTGGTCAGCCTCTACCAGACAGAGTTTTTGGCTTGTTTTATTAATAGAATGGGCTGCTCTCTAGTGGCCCTTTGAAAGGCAAGAAGAGGAGAAATATACCACATTTCCACCACAGTGCAAATACCACCAGCAATCTAGCTGCAGGAGATAATCCCCAAAGAATAATATTCTAACTATCTGAATTTTGAAATGTGTCTTTTTGTTAGTGCTGTCAATTCATTGCAGCTAACTCACATGAACTAAAATAATTAAATCGCAATTAATCCCACTGTCAAACAATAAAATACCAATTGAAATGTATTAAATATTTTGGATGTTTTTCTAACGCTCTCAAATATATTGATTTCCATTACAAACACAGAAAAAGTGTACAGTGCTCACTTAATGTCTGATTACAAATATTTGCACTGTAAAAAAGAAATAATACCTTTCATGTCACTGCATACAAATACGGTAGGACAAACTCTTTCATCGTGAAAGTGCAACTTACAAATGTAGAAATGTATTTGTTTACATAACAGCACTCACACACAAAACAATGTAGAACCTGAGAGCCTATAAGTCCACTCAGTCCTACTTCTTGTTCAGCCATTCGCTAAAGACAAGCACGCCAGTTTACATTTATGGGAAATAATTCTGCCTGCTTCTTATTTACAATATCACCCAAAAGTGAGAATGGGTGTTTGCATGGCACTTTTGTAGCCAGCATATTTATGTGCCAGATCTGTTAAACATTCGTATGTCCTTTTCTGCTTCAGCCACCATTCCGGGGGACATCTCTGCATTAGAAGTGCTCATCTTTTACGCTATTAGTTTCACACAACTCATTTAGCACCCACCTCAGAGCCGCCATGTTGGATATGGAAGGGGAGCGGGAATGCACGCTGGGTGACGACACCGACCTGCTCTGGCTATGCATAGAGGAATAATTCTGGAAAGGGGACGGCATGGGGGAGTCTCCTTTCGAGAGACTCCTGAGATGGGCTGTCAAAGAGCTGCTGGCGGCCACGTGCTGCGGTGTCCCCACCTGCTCAGGGAACTTGAGGACTGTGTTCTGCTCCTGGAAGAGACGAGAGAAGCTGTACGGGATCAAAGCAGCCCGAGTTTCCTGGGGTCACTGACTCAGCCCTCCCGTTAGATGTGCCACACACTCATTTCCTGCAAGACTTCTCAACCCTGTTGGTCCTGTCGGTAATACCATAGCAGACTCTGAAGAGGCTAACATTCTCCAGGGACACGGTCATTTCCGTTAAGCCATCAGGGAAGTAGCTTTCATGCAAGGGCCCCACAGAATGGTGGGGAAGGAACTTGCCTTTCCCCTAGGACTCCTGAAAGAGGAGCTGCCCCGGAACAGCCACTGTTTTGATCAGTTTAATGCTACCATTACATGGGCTGGATTGTAGATACTACGCTTATTTATTTTCTCTCTCTCTCTCTCTCTGAGAGAAAACCTCCACTTCCTCTCTCACATCCACATGCACACACAGAGAACCTCCACTTTTAAGGCAGCAGTTCTTTCTTACCTCTGGTTTCACTCGGCGAAGGGCCCAGACAGCGTGCAAACTCTGAACGGTGTCGTACGTCATCACAATGGAAGGCTCCTCGTTGAGGAACACGATGCGCAGTGTGTAATCAGCCACATACTGTACTCTGGCTGAGCCAAACACACCTGCTAGAGAAGCAGTGCTCAGGGTAAGCCCATCTAAATCAGAAGGACAGTTTCTGTAACAGCGTCGTTAGTTACACTAAGCGACCGTTTCATGGCCATTTCTTTGCACCTTTGGTGCTTTCCGCATACAGCCCCACGCTCCCGGGGAGTGTGTGTCAGGAAAGGCCAGTTTGCTGCCTCCGAGCAGTTTCAAAGTTGTGCAACTGAGTGGCAGCATGACCAAACAACTACGTCGCTGCCCGGGACGCAGGACACCAGGTTCTATCTAGCCGGGAGCACAATCTAACCCAGTGCAAAGGCTGGAAGTTGAGGCTAGACAGACACAGATTGGAAATCAGGCATCCATTTGTCACCGTGTAACAGCTGGACATCGGAACAGCACTAGCAAGGGCAGGCTGCATGCTCCAACACCGGCGAGCTGTACATCGACACTGGACGTTTTCCTAAAAGCTCTGCCCTAGAAACGGCTCTGGGGCAGGTCTCTGGCCTGCGCCATGCAGGAGGTCAGACCAAATGGCAACAATGGTCCTCTTGGCCTTGGGATCTATTCATCCCTTCCCAGCTGTGTTGGTGGGTTGCTGGGGGGCCATGGGTATATCCCCTCTCTTCCTGAGGTTTCCCATTTGTCGAACGGGGATAATGCTGCTGACCTCCTTTGTAGAGGGCGCGGAGATCTACAGCGGAAAGGCACATTGCTATAGCTGCATGAGGCTCCTAACCCTACCCAGTGCTGGAGTTTCACTCCGGCCCCTCCCTTTGTGTGAGACACATCCTGCTTGTAGCAGGGCAGTTGCCTCATTTTGGCAGGCAAGGGGTTAAAGCAGGCTGCAGGGAGCCAGAACAGAGCCTCAGCCAATGAGGAAAGGGCTCTTAGAAGGAGCCAATCGGGGGCAGCTTGCTAGGGCAGCCCTGCTTATAAGAAGCTGCTGGGCAGAGCAGAGGGCAGTTGGGTTCTGACCAGGGAAGGTACAGGACTGGTGCCCAGAGAAGCACCTTAGCGGGAGCAGGCTCACGGGAGCTAGAGCAAGGGAGGCTCCAGCCTGAGACATGCCAGGCTGCGGCCTTGACGCACGGGCCAGGAGGGAACAGGGGTCCCAGGGGAAGTGGCGCAGGGAACGGGAGGCAGTAAAGGGGAGTAGTGGAGGGCAGGACAAGGCTGCCGCCAGAGGGTCCCTGGACTGGGACCCAGCAATGGGCGGGCCTGGGTCCCCTCCTTGCACCACACTGAGGAGTGGCCTTCCTGGCACGCAGCTTGCCCCTGAGGTGGGGGGCTAGCCTGAGGCTGCAGCTGGCCACAGGGGCCAGTGCAAGACTGAGGGCACCTGATGCCCCAGCCCACACCTCCAGGAGAGGCAACCCAAGGGAGTGTGAGGCTCTCAGAGCACTTAGAACGATCGGCCTTGGGACAGCGAGCAGCGCTGCACTGTAACGAGAGCTGCCACTTGGCTCAAGCGCCGGGAAGGGTTCAGCTCGGGCGGGGAGTCGGCTGCAACGTGAAGATCACGACTCCTGACCCCGTAACCCGCTGGGCAATCACCACAGCTTAGCAGCACCGAGGCTACAAATGTACCCAGGAAATACAGCAACTTTCTCCCCTTTGCCGAATCCCTGGTTGGTGCCCCTCCCCCCCCCCGGAGGTCGTTTTGGAGAACTCTGAGATCCTGGCGCCACGACGTCAACGATGGAGTTTGTCTACACGTCCACTTACTGTGCAGCACGCCAGGCTGGAACTCTACAGCAATGCACGCAGGGCATCTTTGACTGCAGAACGGCAGAGGCGCTGTGGACAGTCGGCACGTGGCAGGCTAGCGTGGGCTAGATTTATATGCCAGCCTGCCACAAGCTAAGCGTTCATATCGGTAAGTCCCAAGTGACATGAAATCCTAACTCATTCTACTAACATGGCTACAGTGACACTGCATACATGAAATCCTAACCGATGGAGCAGCTAAAATAAGCCATTTCATTGCAATATACAGACTATACGAGGGGGAAGGTAAACTCTCAATGCTGTGTTCAGTAATATGTCAGCTGAATGACTCATTTCTTTATATGGATTTTCGGGTGTTTTGTTTTGCTGACAACCTACCTCCAGACTTGCACACAAGAGGCGTTATTTCATCTAAAGGGTGCAGCATGCTGAACATAGTAGGCAAAGGTTCTCTGGAAAGGAAATGGAAAAACATCTGTAATAACTAACAAATGGATCACAAACACCCACTGCAAATTTAACCGCCAGCTCGTCAAAAATACACCCATGACATACACGTTCCACTAACAATCGCTTGTATGGCTCACCTAACACATCAGCAAACCCCCACCTTTATCTAGTGCATTATCGTAGAAACCCTAAGTGATACCCCTGTATAATTTGGAAGACTTCACCCCACACCGAAGCGATGCTGTTATTTAACAGCGGAGCATTGGAAAGGAGGAATATTACATCCCACAGCAATTGCAAGAGGAATTTGCCAGATAAAAACGTGGCAGAAAACAAGGACCGAAGAGCCAGGAGATCTCTGCTGACCACAGTGAACATGGCAGCGTGAAATCTTAGCTGCAAGCTAAAACATTTTGTGTACGATTGCCTTTTTACTGCGCAGGGCAAGGCTGCAAGTGCCAGCAGACATGCCCAAAAGGGCCGTTCTAAACTCCATTGTGTGAGCTCCCAGCTTGTTCGCCAGAAAGATTCCTCCGGCGCTCATCACATGCCACAGCAGAATTTTTCTGCAAAACACCAATACAATTAGAGGAACCATTTTTCTAGTTTTTTATGGCCTCAGACAGCCAGCAACCAAAACCAGCTCAGCTGTGCATGTTCAAACTGGATCAGACACGCCGTCCTGATGGAGTACACCTGCCTTTCGCAAGACTGAAAAAAGTGGAAGTTCTAAATTGAAAACTTCCCAGATGCAGACTGCTACATGATGGCTTACTCCCCCACTTTTCAGAGCCCCCTTAGCTCTGTGGTATCTCAGCACGGTTCTAAATGAGACCCACATCCCCGGGATGTATGCTCATAGCTCCAGGGCAGCTGCCCAAGCTACTCCCCAAGTTCAACCACCTCCACAGCCTGGATGCCGTCTTTATGCCAGGATTTAAAATCAGGATTTAAACTGGCAGGCAGGAACATTGATTTGAACCCTGCTTTGCATCTGCACTTGTTAGAGGTTTTTTCTCTAAGGAAAGGTTGGTTCTCCTTCATTGGTAACCACTAACCCATTGATTAACAATTATAATGATTGCCTTCACACTCAGCTGGGGGGATTTTGCACTATACCGATGAATGTTAACGTAAGCAATTCAAGAGCTCAGCATACACGTATTCAGATGCTTAACTTGTATTTCAGTTCGAAAACAATGAACAGCACATTTTGTGACGGGGGCTCATGGCCCTTTCGAGGCCCCCGAGTCCTACCATACCCCTCGCCACCCCACTGAAGGAGCAGTGAAGGGGGATTCTAGAGAGGCTGAATGGAAGCAGCCAATTAATTAAAAGGAACGGCTGGGTCTGAGCAGGTCAGGACTGAGGGAGGGAGGGAGGGAGCTCCCTGCCGGTCAGAGGAGCTGGACAGAGAACCCAGTGGCACTGGCGTTCAGTGAGAAGGAAGAGGGTCTGAGCACTTCAGCCCCCAGGGAAGGGGGAAGAGAAAAGGCCCAGGGAAGAGCAGCAAGGAATTAAAGGCAGCAGTGTGTGACTGGCCTGTATAGGGCCCCTGGGTTTGAACCTGAAGTAGCGGGGCAGGGCCAGGTTACCCCTCCGGCCACTGGGAAAGTGGCCTATGCCCTGAGAAGAGGGCCAGGCTGTGTTGGGAAGCCTAGGTGAAGGGCGGGATGGAGAGGGCCGAGACAGGGCTGAAGGCTCTGAGAAGGGTGCACCAATAGTCGTGGCTGGGCCTCAGTTACCCCAGAAGGGGCTCGTCCACTGCACTGTGTGACTAGCCCAGAGGGCTGAGCCGCTGAAGACCGACCTAGCCAGGCCAGCAGCCCCCTGGGGCACACAGGAGGAAAGATTGCAGTACCACACCGAGCCATTAGGAGGCGAGGGCAGCACCCCGCCCTATCGTGCTTGATTATTTACAAGATGATTCATTGTTTTATCCGTGACTTGCATCAAGCTACGATTAGATGGCCATTGGAATTCCATTAACAAGGCACACAACTGGCATTTGACAAGGATTTTTTGTAGAATAAAACTATCCTGAAAGCGCTGGAAATCTACTTATGTTTTTACCATCCCCATGTTTAAAACTAACTGGCTGGCTACACAGAAGTAGTACTACCCGTCGTTAGTGAAGGGAATTGATTGCTCTGGTCACCAGCTTTTTCTAGTGTTAGAACCGGCAGATCTTGCTCTCTCCTTTTTAGTCAGAGTTTAAATGAGGAAAACAAGCTTCCCGGTTTGCTTACCCCCTAACTGGTTTCTCAACTTTGCATGAAGTAGTTGAATAAAGTGAAATGTAAAAGCTGTCAGGCTCTTAATAAGTTTAAAAAGCAGAGGAGTAGCAGGGGGATCGGATGTGAGCCAGAAAACCACTGATTCCCAGCTTGCTCCCGGTCCCCCTCGCTGCACCTTTGCCTCTGATAGAGGTAGCAAGCTGGGGGAGGGAGGGAAGCAACTAGTCGAGTCACTACTCGATAAGCATATGCTTATCCGTTAGTCGACCAGTCGCTCACATCCCTAGGTTGGACATTAGGAAAAACTTAGGGTGGTTAAACACTGGAACAAATTGCCTAGGGAGGTTGTGGAATCTCTATCACTGGAGATATTTAAGAGCAGGTTAGACAGACATCTAGAAGGGCTGATCTGGACCAACGGTGGGGAACCTTTTTTGGGTCAGGGGCCACTGATCCACAGAAAAGTCAGTTGGGGGCCGCACACAAGCGAGAAGCAAAAATAAACAAACAAACAAACCCTTGCTGATGTGGCCCCCAACTGAGGAGAAAGACACTCCCCACAGCAGGCAGCAGGTTTAAAACAAACAAAAGGAAGTTTTTCTTCACTCAGCGCACAGTCAACATGTGGAACTCCTCGCCAGAGGATGTGGTGAAGGCTAGGACTTGAACGGGGTTCAAAAAAGAACTAGACAGATTGATGGAGGTTAGGTCCATCAATGGCTATTAGCCAGTATGGGTAGGAATGGTCTCCCTAGCCTCTGTTTGTCTGGATGTGGGTGATAGGAGAGGGATCACATACAGATTACCAGTTGTGTTCCCTTCCTCTGGGGCATCTGGTATTGGCCACCATTGGAAGACAGGACACTGGGCTAGATGGACCTTTGGTCTGACCCAGTACGGCCGTTCTTACATTCACATTCCCCTTCCACACCAAAGCCTAGGACGGCCCCCACCTAGTAGATTTTGTGTGCTCCGGCCCCTTGGTGGGGCAGCAAGAGGGCCAGTGTGGGCTCCCCAATGCTGAGGGGGCCCCTGAGCCTTGGGGGCCACATCCTGTTCCCCCACCTGTGATCTAGACGGTGCTTGGTCCTGCCGTGAGGGCAGGGGACTGGACTTGATCTCTCAAGGTCCCTTCCCGTGCTAGTATTCTGGGATTCTAAGACAGACACTCAGCAACCCCTCTCACTACATACCTGGGTGGGCTCAGAGGAACTTCGTGGGAAGAGCTGCTGCGTTCAAACAACAAGCCATACTTGGTTGGCCAGACATTTGCTACCTACCAAAGATACAAACATTTTAAAAACTGACTTTAAAACGCTCCCACGCTTGAGCATGCAGTTAGTGTAAAACCAAACCACGTAACCGTTGTCTAGGGCACAGAGAGCAACGTTACAAATGAAACACAAAAGACTTTCTCTGTGTCTGAACACAACCAGTATATAAATCTGACAACATACCTAGATCAAGCATCCTGGGCATTGGATTAGCACTCAGGAGAAAATAAGCTACAAGGAGCCATGTTTTCTCACCGATCCGGAAGTTTTGGCGTCTACTCAAAGGTTTTATACTGTAACCCATCATTACAGTATCCAAGTATCTTCCATGTAAAATAGAGTGGCAATAACAATGTTCCCCGTAGGATTCAGAGTGTCTATGGTGGTGGTCCTTCCCCCCCGATCAGAACAAGGAGTAGAGTAAAGTCTTCTGAGTCTCAATCCAACAGCCAGTTCCCTAGGCCACACCTCCGTCTGCTGTGTCTCACCCCCATTTGTTAGCACAATTATTATTAAGTAGTCACCCCAAAGATTACTAAATTATAACTACGTTGCAAGCACCATACACACCAACAGGAACCAGGAACAACTACAACAAAACGCACACTGAAATACATGGAAGAGTTTTAGAAATTAAAAAACCACCACCACTTACCTGAAAAGGTAAAGAAGCAATGTAATCTTTGCCTTTTAGGCTATGAACATTTATGCAGGAACTCTGCAATATGCAGATACATTTTTCTACTACTTCATCACTATCTGAAATTGAAGAGCATAAAAATAACGTGTTGCCCTAGATCAAGTTTCTCTACACACAGAGTAAGGACTGTTTAATTATATCATTAGCTGTGCAGTTCTAAAATGGGTGGTTAGCTTCTGTTGCAATAAGGGGGTCTACAAATTTACCCAAATTATAAGTTTAATTGTAAAAAGTACATAAGAGTTCATAAGACCATACAATAATCTAGAACAATAAATGTTGATGTGGAAAGGAAGAAAGAAACAGAATAACTGAATCCCTCTAAACAAAAAGGCCAAGTTAATATGATTCAAGAATTGTGTTGAAATTACGCTTTTTATAAAACAGGAGATGTGGAGCTGGACATTAATGACACCAAACTGGTATATTAGGCTTAAGTGGTGAACAAAACAACGAGAGGATGGGCTATTCCATCCATCACTCCTTTGGGGTCCTTAAGTGAAAGAGATTTTGTGGGGAACAGTATGAAAAAACCTCAACCCCCAAGAACAAAGAGAAGAGGAGACAGAAGAGGCATCGGCTACTGAAGCGAGTGTCACCATCGTTTAGTTGTCACCCTCCTCCCCCCTCTATGATTTTCCGGGACCCAGGGCCTTCATCACCCTGCTCTGGAGTGGGTCACCTGATCAGAACAGGTCAGAGAGGGAAGCAAGTGATACCACCACCCCCCTACTGACTCCGGCTGACTCCCAGACACTTACTGGGGGGACATTTATAACCATCTCTGAACCCTTTTGAGACTGGAGACCTTCCAAAAGCTGTCTACAGAGGCAAAGGGACAAGGGGTGTTGTTACAAGGAGCACCTGACTTGATACTTTACATTTCAAACGCTTCCGTTGTTTTCCCCTCTTTTCCAAATCTTTAATAAAAGGATTTTTAATAGCGTTTGCCCCTTGGTGTCGAACAGCCTGACGTCTCTGCATGCCAAGCCTCAGGCTCTGTTTAACACAGTTCATTACTGGACAACAACTGGGTTGTGTTAACACCTTTGGCCCATATATTCCACCTCAGTTACTACACCACTTCCCAAGTCTAGAAAATTAAACTCAGACCAAATATTAGCTTGACAGTAAAGTAAAATATGAATGAGACTTACTGTCCAATTTCTCAGATTTCTCCTGGGGCACAGTGAAATCACACCACAATGCCTAAAAGCCAAAAAGATCCAATTACTTATGAAGGACAACCTGGTATTACTACCAAATCCTCTTTTTCAATGTTATGGTGTAACCTACTGTCCCGTCCCCACCGCTCCAATACAGGTGTTCGCCATGTTTCAGGTAGCTAGTACTGACCAGCTGGTTTGCAGCCATTCCCATGGCTACCGTTTCAATGGTCCATACCTGCAGAACAGGGCTGTCCACAGTGAAAGCCTTATACACTGCTGATGCCTGGCTTTTACTTCCTTTGCTCCAAATGACCATGTTGCCAGCCACATACAGTTCTTCATCGTATTCCACTTCTTCCCCCACATCACTGACACCTCTCCTTAAAAGCCAACTTTCCTGAAAGCCAAGAGGATTAAAAAAGAAGTCACAATTTCTTCCCTGGGGTGGGCTGATAGTCTCAATGTCTGTGTGATGCTAAAGGGTGGGCTTTTTTAGTATAAATCCATCAACTCAAGATGTGGGGCAACACTGCAGAGGAGACTGGATTTTGTGTTTTCACTGGTTTTGTTCTGGTTTTCCCAGTTTTGAAAAAATATTCCACACGAGGAGAAAAACCTGAACTCTCAATCGGATTCGAGATCATGCCTGGTGCCAGTCAGAGAGCACAGACAACGACCTGCTTATCAGGAAGTGGCGTGTCCCCTACCCTGGCTCTGCATCCACAGAAAATCACCAGGAAGACGCTTCAGGGACCTTCTGCTGCCTTGTGTCAGGAAACCCAGTCGATGTCCCTGTCCTGTGGGTGGTGCGCCTGGGGAGTCTTTGTACAGTGTGTCCTTTTCTCTTTTTACAGGGAGACAGGAAGCCCTTCGCCTGAATCCCAATTAGCACAGGACCTCGATTTATGGGCCACAATCGTACAGGAAAGCTGCCACACAAAGCACTTTTTCCTGACTGGCGGAGGGGGAGGAGGGAATCACAACATGAAGTGACGTGGACGAAGAGCAAGTTGGCATCTCTTCACATCCTAGCGCCTACAGTGCACTGGAAACAGCTTTGCAAGGGTTTGGTGGACAAGCGAAGTGACGCAGGGTGCCACCCTGCAACTTACGCACCCGCCTATTGTAATTCTGAGTGAGGGAAAAAAAGCATCCATCTGGGGCTAGGCTAGAGGGCCTTGTCCAGCTCCTCAATCCACTTAGTTTAAACTAAGCCAAGCTCCAAGTTGTCAGACAGGCATGCCTGATGGAGAGGGGCCTGCACGCACACGTACAATTGTGAGACAAAAAGCTTAGGCCTAGATATTCAAAGGGAAAACTTCAAAGTTGTTACTTAATTTCTTTACCTAAAGCCACTACAATACCTTGGAGATTATTCAGTCTGTTTCATGCTCTGGTTCTTCTCAGTTGTGTATTGTTTTCCCATTGACATTTAAAAAAAAAATCAAAGAGACATTCTGACGGCCTTAGCTTTCATGGCAGCTTGTTCTCACACTACCTAACACGAACATGGAGCAGCGGATGTCAGACTGACAAAGCTACAATTTTGTTTGTTCCCCAAGTACACGGAGCAGGAAGAGCAGCAGTGGAGACGCAGCTCACTCCGGTCCTGCAGAAAGCACCCGATGAACAAGGGGGCAACCTGGACTCCAGGCTCATATGCTCTTTTACTTATCGGCAAAGGCTGCGGGTTCATGCTCCAGTTGTGAAACAGGCACCTACCCACAACTACTCCACACCTGCCTTTGTTTTGACCATGTCACAGTATTTCTCCTAACAAGAAAACAACATACAATGATGCAGTATGTTTCTGGGCTTAAAGAGTGCATCTCAGTAGTTGATGTACCAGAGGTTTATTTTGTTACCCTGATGAATACAGACACACACACACACACACACACATCCGTATTCATCAGGATGCAGACACAAGACACTTCCCTGTATTCTCTGGATCTGTTCTGGAAGTTGGTCTTGGCTGGTTCATTACAGACTGTTTCTCTTCAGCACCCAGGCACCATCCAGCCAGCTTTTCACTGGCAAAAGCTTTGCTTTCTTTAACAAAGCCAAGAGATGGCCTTGCTGTCAGAAAATACTGCTCTTTAGCTCCTTCCCGTAGGAGCAGCCCGCACTCAGTAACGAACTCTGAGTTCAAAGAGTCATTTGCCTACCTGAGGGAAGAGCAGTTTGCCCAGAGAAGTGCCTTGCAGAGTCAGTTTCACAATTCAGCCAAGAAACAGGAAGGAAACGTTTCCTGGGCAGCGTTCCCTCCTGGCGTGGGACTACTTAAACCTGGTCTACACCCAGTGTTTGCACGGATATTGATTAGGTAGCCAGCAGCCAGGCTCAGTCCAGGCTTGTGACAGGTCCGGGACCTACACCTGCTGCAGCTCTGCGTTTAAAGTGTATTAGGAGCAGGCAGGCAGGCAGGCAGCCCGGCTCAGTTCTGCCTTGCACCAGGTCTGGAAGCTCAGACCCATCCTAGACAGGGGCTGCTGCCTCTTTATCAGAGGAAGCAGCACAGGGTGACAAGCAGCCGGTCCGCGAGGGGAGCTGGTTTTTAAACTGGCTCCCCTCGTGGACCAGCTCCCACCTGGTACTCGGCGCTGATGCCTCTGATTCAGAGGCAGCTGCGTGGAGTGGCAGGGGGCTCTTTGGGAGTGGAGCCGGAGCGCACTGGCTGCCAGCCTCACCCCCAGGGACAATAGAATAGTCGACTAACCAATAAGAATTCATGAGGCTACTCAACTATTCAATTAGCCGATATTTAACATCCCTAAGCTGCACCCAAGCCCCACTCGCGCCGCTGAAGCGATACGCACCGTGCATGACGATTTCCCTTAATGCTTCTGCTCACAGGACGGGCATCAGTACTGCAGCAGCCAGTTTGTGGAAGCGAGGCCATTGAAGCCAATAGCCGTTTTCTGCCATAACAGGATGAGAGCCGGGCAGGAACGGGTGGAAGAAACCCTTCTGATTGGCTGCCTTCTCTACCTCCTAGGGCAGAACTACCAGAGCTGCTGTCTGAAGAGCTCTCCCGGCCCCGACGCCATTCTCACAAGAGGGCAAAGTGAGCAGAAAACACCCAGCGACTCATGCACCTCCTGCCTCCTGTGAGCAACAGGGAAGGCTCATTGGTTCCTCCCTGCAACACCCAGCCTCCTGGCAGTGTGGGGAGGTGGGAAGAAGAGCTCCAGAAGACCCACCACCACCACCAAGGCTGAGCATGGACTCCATTGCAACCCCCTGGTCTGAGGAAGGGGCTGAGGAGCCTCTGGGGGAATAAACATGACTCCGGGGGGCTGGAGGACAGAACTGTTTGGAGGTTGAGGGGCAGGATTTCTAGGCAGATATGGGGGTGAGTTTTTAACAAAACAAATCTTACACTGCTTGAAGACAACAACCCACTAGTCTGTTTTCTCTTGGAGAAGACTGCACAAATCTAGTGCTGCCGCATTATAGAACAGACATACTTTGCACACAGCTTGCAAAGGACGTTTTCCTCCAGCTCTTTCTTTAAGGGTACGTCTACACAGCAGGCAGTTATTTCGAAATAATGTCAAAATACTGCCAAGCTGGAGGACTACTCTGACTCCTGTAACCCTCATTGTGCGAGGAGGAAGAGAAGTGGGAGGAAGAGTGCTCTGTTTCGAAGTAAGGGCTGTGTGGACGCTCCCAATTTTGAAATAAGCTCTGCAATTGACGTAGCTCAATTGGTGTCGCTTATTTCGAGCGAAGCCCTGCTGTGTAGATGCACTCTAAAAGTCAAGGGTCTGGTTTCATCACTCAGAGGCACACTGACTCAGGACACAGAACTTTACCTTCTGTTTTTCATGGATTGTCACCTCCTGAAGGGATCCCACCAAGCCGGCAGCTCCATCGGAGGACCACAGCTCAGAGGCTGGCTGCAGCTGCCGGAGTTGAAGGTTCAGGGCATTAGGGTGGTGCCTGCAGTGGTCACGGCCAAAAGGAACAAACTCCTGCAAATCCCCTGCTGCAATCATCGTTACCCTCTCTTCATAGTTGTTCGACATGGGTTCCAAATATCAACATTATTTCTGGAGGAAAAACAAAACACTGGTCTGCATCCATGGCCATTGCTGGGCTGGGGCGCATGCAGCTTGCCTTGAGAACGTTTGGCAGCCAAACGTTTCTGGACAAGACTTAACTCCCGTTTCCAACAAATAAATAAAAACGATGATTCAAAGCCCCGTCTCGTTAGTGGGGGTAATTCTAATCATTAATGTTTTCAGTTATTTCTATTTTGCCTCTCGTAGCCTCGGTAATGCCAGAACAAAATTGACTTATATTAGGGAGGAGAACAAGAGAAGAAAACAACAAGAAGATTTCAGCTGATTTTAATTCTAGTGCTAGCTTCCTTTCTGAGGCCTGGTGGACACGAGGAAATTAGGTCCAAATATGTCGCTTAAGAGTGCAACAAAGCCACAATCCTGAGCAACACACTTGAACTGCCCTAGCCCCCGGTGTAGACAGGACTAAACAAAAGGCAAAGGCTATCACCTCTTGGAGTGGAGTACTTATGTCAAAATGCCTGTTTTGACAGCCATAGGTAGTAGGGATGTCAGCATATAGTCATTTAAGTTATTAACCAATAAGCTTGGGCTTAGCAGCTAATCCAAATGAGAACATGCACTTACCCCACCCCCTGCTGCCCCTGTATCACAGGCAGCAATGGGGAAGGGGAGCCAGCTCCCATGGAGCCACTTCCCCTCTCCCCCCCGTGTGTGTGTGTGTGTGTGTGTGTGTGTGTGTGTGTGATGGGTGGGGAGACGAGAACATGCACTGGCGAGGATGTACTCTGTGTGGGGGGGGATGTGTGGAGGTTGGGAGATGTTCTCTCTAGAGGCCCGCGTGTGTGTGTGTGTGTGTGTGTGTGTGTGTGTGTGTGTGTGTGTGTGATGGGTGGGGAGACGAGAACATGCACTGGCGAGGATGTACTCTGTGTGGGGGGGGATGTGTGGAGGTTGGGAGATGTTCTCTCTAGAGGGGTAATCTCCGTAGGGGGTGCATACACCGGTATGCTCTCTCAGGGAGGGGTGCTGGGGGGATACTTGGAGGGGATGTGAAGGGGAGACAAGCACGGTCCGCCTCAGGTGGGCTGGGGGGGCAG